CTTACTTCAGGTCCATGTGGCATGTCAGCATGTGTGTGTGTGTGTGTGTGTGTGTGTGTGTGTGTGTGTGTGTGTGTGTGAGCGCGCACACGCGCGCACGCGTGCACGTATGTGTGTACTAGTACATATTAGGCCAGAGGTCAGTCTTAAGGGTCATACTTTAGGAGCCATCTGCTTTATTTGGCTTTGGGTGGTTGTTTTGTTTGTATTTGAGACCGAGACTTTCACTAGGACCTGATGCTACCCAACTAGGCCAGTCCTGATGCTTCCCGAGCTTTGAGATTGCAAGCACGCCTCCAAACCTGGGCTTTTTATATGGGTTCAGGGGACTGAACTCAGGTCTTCATTGTTGCAGGGCAAGCACTTGACTGAAAAGCCATCTCCTCAGCCTATACAAACTCTTAATTTTAGAATTCAGACATGATTATCTTGTGTACTTTTTAAAATTGTAAATGAGGTTCAGAGTGGGTGAGTAACTCACCCAGGTTCACACTGCTTGTTAAACAGTGTGCTTTGTTCCTTGTGATTGGCTTATTCAACCAGACAATAAAGTAAAAAAATAAAAACCAGTGACACTTTCCATCAAGGAGCCCAGGCTGAATCTTTGGTGATGAGAACAACCAAGATGTCTGTCATCTGCTTGTCTGGGGTGAATCATGAGACGCTGCCCAGCCCACACCAAGAGCCATGGTATGCAATATTCTCTCTGTGAATCCATTCTTTATGGAGAACTAAATGACTCACAGTACAAAGCTGTCATTATAGCGTCTTTTAAAGATATCTTTAAGACAAATAGTCCAGGTATTGAAACACTCAGCTGTGAGACAATTTGGGCTTTTTTTGAACCAGGAAAAGGACACCTGAGACAGAAAATTTCAGTTAATGTACTGAGAAGAATGTGGTCATTCATCACACACAACTTGTTATGTTCTTTTGTTTTCATATCGATGAGTTTTCTCAAATTCATTTGGTAAAAAGAAGACAGTGTGAGCTATTTATTAAAGATTGGGAGCAACTAAGCATAAACTGGAATTGGACTGGTTTCCAAGCCCAGAAGTACCACCAAGAGGCGTGTCCCCCCTCAGTGGTACTTGCAGACATTGCTGACTTAGTCTTCACAGTTCTGACGGGGGGAGGGAAGACAAGCCACCCACTAGGCAGATATATAATCCCTAACAAGAAACAAGAAATGCCGTGCCTCGCTCTGCAGCCCACAGCCACTGTAGGCACCTAAACTTGGGGTTAAAAAGGTGTGTGAGCAACTTTTGACTCAGTTTGCCTTCCAAAAACAAAACAAACAAACGCAACATAAAAGGTGATTATCATGCGGATTCTCGTGGTTAAAAGTTAATAGCATACAGAAATAACAGTGGTTATTATGTAACTTTTATCCCTACGTTTCCACCCATCCTTCTCCAATGTTGTTCACCTCCCAAGAATTAGTCTCTGCATTTGGTGCATACCAAACTTGCTAGATTGCTTGTTTGCCTTTATAGTCAGATATACAAAGCCTTTTATTGTACATAAATGGCAATCTTCTCTACAGTTTTGTATCTATGTTCATTTTTTACATTCAATTTATATATCTTAGTAATTTTTCCATGTGGTCACACTATATAATTAAACACACATGTATTTTAGTGCTATAGAGTATTTTCTAGAATGGAAGCATAGTATCTTGGCCTCCCTGGTTGACAGATGCACCAATTATTTCTGTTTTTTTTTTATTATTAAAAGTCATGGCATAGTTTGTATGCATATGTGTATATGTATTTTTTGTCTGTGTATGTGTATGGTGTATGTCTGTGTGTGTTTGGTGGTTGTCTATAAATTTATATGCATATGTTTCTGTGCATGTGTGTGTATGTGTGCATGTGTATGGGTTCTTGTCTGTGCATATGTGTTTGTGTGTGTGTGTTTGTGTATTTTTGTCTGTACATGTGTATGGTGTGTGTGTATGCATGTGTTATCTGTGTGTCTATGCATGTGTATAGGTATTTGTCTATATATGTATGTGTGTGCATATGTGTCTATGCATGTGTGTGTGCAAGTGTATAGGTGTTTGTACAAAAGTGTACATATGTGTTTATGTCTATGTGTGTGTGTGTGTGTGTGTGTGTGTGTGTGTGTGTGTGATGGTGCTAATGTTAATGACTCCTTGAAATGGGATTGTTGGGTAATGGGAATATGCATGCCAAATTTCAATAGTTTTTGTCCAACTATAGTCCAAATAAGGTCTACACACTACATTTTATCTTCAATACGGACCTGATGGGCTTTGGAGAGCCCTGGAGTCAGACTGCTAGGATCGGTACCCAGACACAACCACATCTTAGGCAGTGGCCCGGGAAGTTCCAAAGCTCTTAGGGCCTTGGTTTCCCTTTGTAAATATAGAACCCATGCATGCTTCTAAAAGATGGTTGAGAGTTTGGGGTCAAATGAAGTAAATATAAATGTACAGGTTGTGGCAGCTACTCTGCTTCCCAACGAGAAATAACTCAGTTTTAAACGTCAATGTGACTAAGAACCTTCTGTTCACAACATAAAGTCTAAGGTGCCATCAGCAGAGGTGGGGTTGGGGTAGCCTGCCGTACAACATGGACAGTCAGGCCTCGGGAGATCCTGCTGGGGTCTCTGGGTCACACTTCACCAGGCGAGTCCTAGTTCCACTGATAACTCTCTCCAACCCGACAAATCCTTTGTACTGCAGACAACTAGACAGTTTCTTGTGCTTATTCCCAGCTGCCTGGGCCAGTCCTTTCTAACATGGGAATTACAATGAGTCAAGATAGATATATTTGTGGCCACAGTTTCTTAACCACTCCTTGGAGCTTGGTAGACTCTGACATGCTTTTTGTATTGACAAAGAGGAGGTTGTACCTAAGTGTATAATGATAATAACTCCTTCAGCCATGTATTCAACTAGAAGTGTCATATTTAATCAAAACTTAGAATGGTAAAGTGCCTTCTTTGTAAGTCACATTCTAATTTCAGAGATGTTAGGGCCTGAGAAACCCTTAGAATTGATCAGACACTGAGATTTGTCTGAGAGAAGTCTTACATGTAAGAGAAGGATACTGAATCAGGTCTAACTGCAAAGGATGATTACAAGACATTTCTAAAGGAGATAGTCTTGTTGCCAGACATCACTTGGTTTGCTGAGCAACTAGATTAGTGTAATTGTACAAGCTGAGGGTGGAGGAGGAGGCAGAACCACTGTGTGTCCTTAATGGACAATAGAGGTGTGTGAAATTCTGGGAGAAGTACCCAGAGGAAGAACAGAAGTGTACATTCTGAGCTTTAAGCAAAGGAAGAGCCAGGACCTTTAAACACACACACACACACACACACACACACACACACACACACACACACGAGCACATGAGCACACATACACATGTATTCACACACTTATGTATGCACACACACACTCACACATATACTCACACATATGCGCGAACACGTATGTTTTCATGTCTAGTCACTCAGGCATAGCCCCTTTGGGATATTCCTTAGAAGCAGGAGGGCAGGATGTACAATGAGCCTTCCTCCTTTTTTCATACCAGATTCCTGGTAAATGGCATTGCTCTTCTGTATTCTGGATGTGAAGGGATGCCTTTGGATCTCCTCAACCTGGAGACCCAAACGATGAGGAAATAGTAGGAACTAGGATGGAAATGGCATCCCAGGGCTACATGTCCTGTCTGAAGCTCAGTTGCAACATACAACCCCGAGTCCCTCTGCTTCTAGGTCTTGGACTCTGTTATGTTTGAACACAAATGACTCCCCAATAGGCTCATGGGTTAAAACTTAGCTGGAGAACTGTGGTTTTTTTTTTTTTTTTTTTTTTGGTTTTTCGAGACAGGGTTTCTCTGTGTAGCTTTGCGCCTTTCCTGGGACTCACTTGGTAGCCCAGGCTGGCCTCGAATTCACAGAGAACCGCCTGGCTCTGCCTCCCGAGTGCTGGGATTAAAGGCGTGCGCCACCACCGCCCGGCTGGAGAACTGTTTTTAATGGTAGCATAATCTTTAGGAATTGAGACCTCACAGGAGGAGATAGGTCACTGAGGACAGGTCCTTGCCTTGTCCCCGACTCTGTTCCGGTCTCTGTGCTTCCTGCCCTCCAGAAGGTGAGCTGCAGCATTCTACCACACCTTCCCTGCTACAATGGACTGACAACTCTGTAACCATGTGTCATAATAAGTCTTTTCTTCTCTAAATTGTTTATGTCTGATATCACAGCTATGCAGGAAGCTAACTGATGTAAGCTCCTTAAAAAATCAGAGGGTTCATCCTTCTGTGTACAGCATCTAATGCTCTGCTCTTCAACATTGGCTATGAGGTGGAGGTTTCTAGATCCCAGTAGGCTCTCTGCTGTCCATTTCTCTATGTAAAACAATACAAAACAAAACAAAAACCTCTACACCCCTCAGTCACTGATGGTGGGTACCACCCTTCATGATGTTTCTCTTTGCCCTCCTGTGGATTCAGCTGTGCTACCCCCGACTGTGGTCATGGAAACCATTCTACTCATGGTAAAGTGTCTGCTAGATGGGAGGCATGTGAACTGTCTTCTGACCCCTCAGAATAAATCTGATTGGACATTTCTATGAGTATAAACATCACTGTAATTCAGATGTGTTGCGATTCCTGGTACCCTGGGTGCCCCCAATTTAAGACTCAAATTGTCTTAATAGATAGACTCAGATCCGTGGGTTCTAATATTGAGTGTGGCTCTCGGCAATCATCCCAAAGGAGCCAAGCCATCAAGAAGGCCTGCTCTGCTATTGCAAATTAAACAGAATGCTTAATAGTTCACAGGAGAAAAACACAAAACCCATAAACAGCTCTTTCAGGTTTAACAAGCTGAGGACTTAGTTGGATGTTTTCCGCAAGCTGACAATGAGAAGTGACATCCACACAATGGGGTGTCACTACTCTTAGCAGATCCATTCTTTCTCAGCTAATAAACACAAATATTGTATAGAATCTACATCCTGTTTAATTCTCTGCAGCACAATGCAGAACTAGACCACAGCTCCCAACCACTTCTAAACAGGCTCTCTCAGGGGGGAGAGATTCCCCCAGAGGGCAGACGCCTGGGTTGAGCTCATTGTCATACCAGAAAGATACAAGCTATTCACAGTCGCCTTGACTAGACCCATGTCTGTTCAAAGGTTCTTCACTTCTGGTTCTTCAGTTCTATTCCAGTGTAATACAGTCCATAAATTGCATACAGCACTGGGCACGGTGGCTCACCCCAGTAATTCTAGCACTCAGGAGGCTGCGGTGGCAAGATCCCAAGTTCGAGGCCAGCCTGGGCTCTACAACAAGACCCTGTTTCAAAAGCAAGAGCAGGCATATATTAAATGTTCATGTCCCATAACTTTGGAAAACACAACACTACCAACCACACAACCAAAACTGAGAATGTGGGGCTGCTGTTTCCGTTTCTGTTTCTATAACTAACCCCTCCCAACCCACAGCTCCAGAAAACCATGCCCCCTTTCTTGACTTCATAGGAACAGACATTTTGGTGAGTGAAAACATCACTGTAATTTATATGTTTTGCAATTTCTGGTACCCTGGATGCCCCCAATTTAAGACAATGTCACATACAGTCCTGTGCGTCTTTTCTCATTTGCCACAGTGATTGCGGCATTCGCTCATGTTGTCAAGGGTCTCTCCCTTTGTTGCTAAGCACACCCCAGAGCCCACCTGTGATTTCTTTATTCACTCCCTGAGTGCAGACAGGGTCCAGTTGGAGCATATAGTAAAGTGAGCAGTCCCAAATGTTTATCGACTGTGCTTTGAAGGGCAGTGTGTTTTCAGTTCTCTCGGGTGATTTTCTGAGAGTAGATCACTGGGTCATGTTGTGAGTAAGTGTTTAGCTTTACAAGAAACAGGCTGGCTCCCAATATGGTCAGACCACATTTCAAATCCTCTCCAACTCTGGGGTTCCGTGACTCTCACTTTTAGAATGTCCTGGAGAAAGAGAGGAGGCATTGCTCTGCAGATTTATTTGCATTTCCCAAAGTGTTTATTGAAATATTTTGACCAGTTTTTACACCTTCTCATTGTGTCTTCTTATTGAGTGTATGTGTGTGTGTGTATGCGTGTGCGCGCGCACGCGTATAAAATCTTATATTTAGATAAAACTCCTTTGCTACATATGCTGCAGGGTTTTGGGGTGGTGGTAGAGGTGTAAGTGGTTTTTTTGTTTGCATATTCTTGTTTTTCTCTTCGTCCTGTGAGGTGGTGACTCACTAGTACCTAGCTGGCATGAAGTCCACAATCTCTCTGTCTCCTGAATGGAACAGATTACAGGAATCAAACCAATTGCCAACTGTTTTTTAAATAGTATAGATACGTTTATTGCAATCTGTGGCTTTCCTCTAGTAATTATTGATGATGTTTCTTGGTTTTTGAAGGGCAGATCTGTTTAATTGTGATAAAATCCAGTTCTCAAGTTCTTGCACAACTCTTTTGTGTAAAACCAAAAAAAAAAATATGAGAAAACCCTATCTTTCTGCTCCTAAAGCCACAAGCCTTTTGTCTATTTTTGTGTAGAGATTTTGTAGCTCTAGTCTTATATGTAAGTCCATCAATCACTAGAATCACCTTAGAGTCCGGAGGCAAAACGAGGACAATGAGCCACCTCCCCAGCACTTTCAGCACGAGTTTTCATTCCCTTTGAGTTCCCTTGGCATCCTTGTCTAAAATCAACCGAGTCTATGTCTAGTCTTTCCTGCAGTCAATTTTGTCCCACTGACATGTGTCCATCTTCAGGCCAGACACACACTGGCTGCAGCATCTTTATAGCAAAGTCCTCAAATCACTTGCCTGAGGCTTCCAACTTCGCTCTAAGTGAAGAACAGAATTGAAAAATGAGATTGATAAAGCAATTCATAGTGCCATCAAAATATGAAAAACTTACGAATAAATTTGACAAAATATGTACAAGACCTGTACAATGAAAACACATTTCTTTTTAAAAAAAAATGGAAAAGCAAAATTGCAGAGGTGTGCAATGAGTCACAAGCAACGATATTTTTGAGACATCAATTTCTGTCTGAGTTTGATGGGAGGGTTTTTAGAAACACAAATGTTGATTTCCATCAGGTACTTTTATTTCATTTATTAAAATAATCTAATCATTTTCTCTCTTCATTTTGTTGACACAGAGAATAAGGATTGATTGTGGAATTGGTCAAAAAGTGTAAATCCATTTCACACTTCTGGGATAACGCCATTGATCATGATGAATTATCTTTCAAAACCATTACTGAACGGATGGTAGAGAGGAGTTAATAGCTCCATGGGAAAAAGCACTCAGCACCATGGGTCTTCGGGAAGAACAAACTCAAACCCCAACAAAGGCCGGGCTGGCGTGATGGTGCACATCTGTATCACTGAACGGGAAGGCTGAAGCGGGAAAATGAAGAGTATGAGACCAATCTGAGCTATGCAGCAAGACCCTGTCTCACCTACCCCCAAACAAACAAAGGAAGAGACTCTAGGGGGAATATTACTTTACTGCCTTTGAATGATAATAGTAAAAGGAATAAAAATAGGAAGTGTTGGTGAAGACACAGACACAAAGCAACTGGACTCCTCCCTGATGCTGGAGGGATGGTAAAGGTGTGCTCAGTCTGGGAAACGCTTTGCTAGCTTCTTCCAGAGTTGGACTTACACTTTCTACACATGCCAGACATTCCATTCCTAGATATTTACTCAAAAAACAAAACTACATGCCAGTAAAACACAGGAACATAAATTTATCTAGCGTCTTTGTTCCCATTGCTTTCTATGGCTGTGATAAACACTGCAACCAACAACAACTTGGGAAACAAATGATTTATTTGGCTTATACATTCCAGCCAGTCCATCACTTAGGGAAGCCACAATGGGGACTCGAGGCAGGAAAGTGGAGGCAGGAACTGAAGCAGAGACCAAAGAATAATATTGGTTACTGTCCCCACCCTGCTTGCTCATCTGCCTTTCATTTTACACAACCCAGGACCACCTGCTCAGTGGCAGCACCACCCACAAAGAACCAGGCCTTCCCACAATAATCATTAATGAAGAAAATGCCCCATAGGCCAATCTGATAGAGGCAATTCCTCACTGACATTCCCTTTTCCCAGATTACTCTACTTTGTGTCAAGATGATAACAACAAAAATAACCAACCAGCACAAACTTCATTCATAACAGCCAACAGCTGAAAACAATCTGCTGTCTATTACAGAGCACACTGATACACAAATCACAGTATAACCTTGGATACTCAGTAATATGAAAGCAGAAGTTAAGGCTGGTGTATAACTCTGTGGTCCTGGCAAACATGAGCAAGAAAGCAAACCAAATTCATACCAAATATTAGAGGCTCCCAGTTCTCCCAGTTCAGCACCAGAGAAAAAGGAAAATGGAAAGAAGGAAGGAAGGAGAAAGGGAAGGAGAGAGTCAGGGAAGGAAGGAAAGCGTTCCCCACAACAGCATCATAGATCCTGACATTTACTGGCTAGGTGAAGTAACTAATACAAAGGGAGAAAGTATATTGGATATTATTACGTTTATGTGAAATGTAGAGCAAGCATAAGCATCTGTGGTGGGAAAGAGGAGATCTGGTCAAGTGAAAGCGGCTGATTTGAGAAGATAGATGAGAATGCTTTCTGGAGAGATGGAAAGGTTCTATTAGTGCGGCGGTCACACATGTGCTGCTTAGATTTGTCAAGTCATTGACCTGTACACCAACAACATGTGGAGTTTTTTAAAGGAAATGTGTGCATTTCTCTTGTCAGATCCTCTGGAACTAAGTTAACCAGATGGCTATGGAGCCACCATGTAGGTGCTGGGAATTGAACCCAGGACCTTTGGAAGAAGAACCAATACTCTTAACACACTGAGCCATCTCTCCAGTCCTGCTTTTTCTTCCTTCTTTCCTTTCTTTCTTTCTTTTGAGACAGGAACTCACTCTGTAGTACAGGCTGGCTTTGAACTCACTGTGCAGTTAGGGGTGGCCTTGAGTTGCTGATGCCCCTGCCTCTACTTTCTGACTGCTAGCATTACAGGTGGACAACAAAAGAGACCCTGCCTCAAAAAAGATGGAAGGCAAGGGCTAGACATGTACCCTCACAGATTAACATGCAAGTATGCATATATTGCATGCACACACACACACACACACACAAATAAATATTAAATTTGAAACAATAATTTATTTGAGTGAGTATTATTTAACACGCCTTACTGATTCACAGGACTGAATGGACTTGCTTACCATTGAGTGCTCAGTGCCTGTGAAAATGGAAGGGTCCTAGCTTACAGCTGTTGAAGGAAGGAAAAAAGAACTGAGAATAAGTGCGGAGGAACAGTGGTTGTTGCATACAACTAGAAGAAACCATGCCGGTGCCATCACTACTGCAGGATGAACGCACCAAGTCAAGGGCAACAGATGAAAGGCGCATGCGTGGTCTGCAGCCCTCGAAGGAAGCATTTGGAAATAACTGAGTTGTAAGAAGCAGCAGAATTGGGAGAATTGGGAGACTGAACGGGTGTCAGAGAGGGGGTGAAGGCAGAGGTAAATGGAGGGTGAGACAGGAGCGGCTTCAGGGCTGTTCGACTTCACTACAGCACACTGGCGACCACTAGCTATTCTGGCTACACCTAGTGCCAGCCCTGACCCCTACATCCAGACCGTTGTGCCTGTCTGCCAACCTGTGCCGCGCCAGCCCCAGGCAGGCTGTGGAAGGGCTTCCCACCCACGCTGACAGGGGCATGACTTCGAACACTCCCACTGATCTCTGCGAGGCCCTGGTGTTTAATAGCGGTCCCGGCCCCAGGGCCTGCTGCAAAATGGGCTTCAAAGGGAGCATCTTTGGTCTTCTGAGTACCACACACAACAGAGACAGCAAATTACAAGCTGAAAATTCATTACATTTGTGGAAAACTTGAATTTATTTAGACAAAGGCAGATGGAGAGGGTGGGTAATCTCGTTACATTTCAGCGCACTCTACTTTATTGAGAAGAAATGAAACATCACGTTATGTGTTTTCTTTCCATCTGCTTTCTCTTGCCTAAGCTCAGGTTTGTTATTAATATAATGAATTCATCTCGCCTCCCTCTCAGTTCCATTAGCCTGTACTCCTAATTAAGTTCTGTGTGCGCTGTCCTTTTCAACAGCTCAGAGTGTCTCTTTCTGATGCAGCTCTTTGCCTCAGACCTCGAATCATTTACACAGATGAACTACTGCTTCTAGACATACGAAATCTCTTAATCAAATTATCATTTTTCTCAAATGTGGAGAAATTATCTAGCCCCTTCTATTCCCCAGACAGCTCTAACCTGAAGGGCAGATTCTACAGGGGCCTGGGACTAAGTCTTGACTCGGAATTTTGAAGAAGTAAAGAAGGATTCATGCTTCTCTGACAGCAAATGTCTAGACCTTGGGCAGCTGGCTGTTGACCAGATCATTAGTTCCCTCCCCCTTCTTTTCTTTTTTTCTTTTTGCCCTGCTCGCCCCATACCCACCAGTGCTCTTTGTTTTTCTTAAGGAATAATAAAACTTTATTTTTAAATATGTGGGGGTCGGGGAGGCTTGTGTGCACACGAGCACAGGTACCTGTGAAAGCCAGAGGCATTTGATCCCTTGGATCTGGAGTTGCAGGCAGTTTAGTCACCTGGCCTGGGAGCTGAACTCCATCCTCAACAACAGTAATATGCACTCTTAACCGCTGAGCCATCTCCCCATCCCCGGATTTTCCTTATTTCTGAATGGAACAGACTGGAGGATTTCAAGAACCTGAGCCTCCTAGACACAGAAGAGGGGTTGTGAGCAGTGCCTAGAGCCAGGTCGTGACTCAGGCAAGTATGCAACCTCCCTCAAGTCTGTGTTCAAACAGGCTGACACTCCTAACATCTCCATTTCCAGTCTGGCAGACACGAGAGCAGTTTGCCAAGGCGGTGTGGCCACTATCTGCTCTGGCCTGGGGAGTCTGGTTGCTGCCTGCACTCCCTGTGACACTGTTCTGACCTTGAGGCAACATTCCTTTAGGTTACGAAGAGGGAGACATGCTAAGACATCAGACTCCTGCAGTCAAATCCCAGCCCCATCTAGCTAGGGCCAACTTAGTCAAGGTAGTTTATGTCTCAGTTCTGCAGCTATGAAACAGGCTTAGGAGTCAAACCTGGTGCTGATAGTTACCCTCCGGGAGTAACTAAGGAGAATGGGGGTCAGGCCACTCTACCTCGAAGTCCAAGTCAGAGAGAAGTATGCCCCCCCACCTAATTTCAACCTTCCTGGCAGCGGTGGTGGGGGTGTAGGGGGATAGGGGGTGTAATTTGCTTCCGTCAGAACTTCCTTCTTGGGGCACTGTGTCCTTTAGACTACCAGCGTTGGGTGAGGCTGTGTTGAGCCGGGGAAGTCTACTGTGGATTGCTGTTGTGGAAGTTAGCAAATAGGACTCACCTGCCTCTCTCCACACTCCTGAACCCTGGATTATGGGGAGCCATCCCAGCCTCTGACCTTTGTTCTCCCGATGCTGATTTCTAAGGACAAGCTGAAGCAGCTCAACTGCAGAAGCCTTGATTCACACCCTTTCTAGAAGCTTCCTAGACCCAGAGCAAGAAGCCACCTTCCAACCAGGGTGTTCTTCCTCAAAGCAGGGTCAGGGCAAGTATGTACTGACCTCCACGGCCAGCAGGAGGCGCCACATTGCCAGTGGGCGGTAGAATGGCCACCGCCTTTAGTACATCCTTTGAAACCTTCAGAATCAACTTACCCCAACCGCCTCCTGCAGAACCGGTGACCAAGGCTTAATGACTGTGCTCCGGGGCTCTAAGGAGAGAGCACATTTTCTCAGACTTAAATCTTCTAAATTGGAATTGCCACCTTTAAAGGGTAAGCTGACCCAATGTCCTTGCTGGTCAGAGAAGCTTCTAAATGCAGTTGAAAAATTAACACTTCCCTTTCAGACATGGACGGGAGAGGCCACAGACAGGTCAGAGGACCAGCTCAAATCAAATTGCCCGAGTCTTTCAAGTTTATTTTTATAGATGAGAAGACTGCACGACGCCAATCCTTTCTATTGCCCTCCTCTGCCGAGACTCTCCCTCTACCGAGGGCATGTCCTTGGAGCTTCAGAGTACTCCACCATAAGCCTGCTTGCCCACCCAAGCAGACATGGCTGGCCTCACTGACCCAGAAAAACCATATTCATCTAGAGAGGCCAAGGAGCCACTCTGAAGGCAGGATGGTGGTCACCACTGTCTTCTCCAGGACCTGAGCCTCTCTGACCCCATGCTGTGTTCTCCACAGGTCCGCTGAGGCTCAGTGACAACAGATGAGCACACCCTGGCTGTTGTGGGAGGTAGCAAGGGCATCAGAGACATGGCCAACCTGGGACAGTCTCTGGGGTGGGGGTTGGGGTGTGGGTGGGAACCTCAGGACGTGGTTCTGGAGAACAAACTTGCAGATACTAAAGGCAAAAACTTGAGATTTAGAGCCCTGGAGCACAATTCCCTGAGTTTGAATCCTGACTCTGAGTGATAATGTTGAGACCATGGGAGATGCCTACTTTCCCCACACAAAACCCAGAACATGTAAAATATTTTATTTCATAAACTCATGGATTTTTAAATTATTTAAAACTCTTTATTACATCTATTTATTTGTGTGTGTCTGCAACAGTGCTTGCAAGCTGGCATATGTGCTATATAGCTCATGTGTGGCAGTCAAAGGGCAACCTGCAGGAGTCAGTCATGGAAGTTCTGGGGACTGAACTCAGGTTGCCAGCCTGGGCTGCAAGTGCCTTTACCCGCTGAGCCATCTCGCCAGCCCCTGGATTTTAAGGTTCCTATGGAATCCATCTCAGGACTGGAAGTGTAACTGTTTAGTAGAGTGCTTGGCTAGCATGCACATTCCATTCCCAGCACTGCCTAAACTGAGGGTGGTTGTTCTTGTCTGTGATCTCTGCTCTTGAGAGAGGAAGGCAAGAAGGTCAGAAGCTCAGGGTCATCCTTGGCTACACAGCAAGTTTGAGACCAGCCTTGAATACATAAGGCTCTATCAATAATAATAATAATAATAATAATAATAATAATAATAGGAAAAGGAACTAGAGAGATGGTTCAGCAGTTAAGAGCACTGGCTACTCTTCCAGAGGACCTGGGTTTGATGTGCCCACATGGCAGCTCACAGCTGTCTGTAATTCCAGTTCTAAGGAATCTGACACTCTCACACAGACATACATGTGAGCAAAACATCAATGCACATAAAGTTAAAATAAATAAATCATTAAAATAATAATAATAGAAAAGGAAAAGGAAAATATTTAGCTGTCCCCAACAGCTCTCTCACAGAAAGAGCAAGACCCACCTTCCTTCACAGGCCTCATGCACTGCCATTGACTACCTCTGAAATCTCCCCCCGCCCCCATTGCTCAGCCCCAGCCACACTAGCCTGAAGTTTAGTCCCTCCACCCCTGCCCCCATTGCTCAGCCCCAGCCACACTAGCCTGAAGTCTAGTCCCCCCACCCCTGCCCCCACTGCTCAGCCCCAGCCACACTAGCCTGAAGTCTAGTCCCCCCACCCCTGCCCCCACTGCTCAGCCCCAGCCACACTAGCCTGAAGTCTAGTCCCCCCACCCCTGCCCCCACTGCTCAGCCCCAGCCACACTAGCCTGAAGTCTAGTCCCCCCACCCCTGCCCCCACTGCTCAGCCCCAGCCACACTAGCCTTTTTGCTTAGATGTGGAGACATCTCTCTCACCTAGGGCTCACACTCCTCTCCCATCCATGGTGCCCCATTGCTCTCACACTTTTCTTCCAGCTGGTGCTTTCACTTCGTTCAGGGGAGTCTCTTGTCTTCACCAGCATATCTGGAATAAAATGTAATTGCTGTTAGCCCAGACTCACTTTACCTTTTTCATAGCCTACCCCCACCTTAAATGACATTATCTGTTGTGATGTTCCCAGAGCTTAGAAAAATATCTGATAAATGATCGACTCTAAGTGAAGGTTTGTTAGTGAATGAATGACAAGCAAGTAGTCAACAAACGCTCATTGCCTTTATGATTAGAGGTATCCTTCACTCATGGCCTAGCCCACTTCTGCTTTCTGTGACTGCTGGATTGATGGATGGCTCCAGAGCAGCTGTAATTCATTTCTGGCTGGCTGGCTCTCATCTCAAGAAGATTTTATTTCTCCCCAGGATTTTCCCTGATGTGTAGTTAGTCCTCCTCTGTCTCACCAGCCAGCTCCCAAATAAATACATGGAGACGTCTTATTAATTATGAAAACTTGGCCTATAGTTTAGGTTTGTTTCTAACTAGCTCTCATAACTTAAATTAATCCATTTCTATTAATCTATGTGCAGTTACATGGCTCATGGCTTGTTATTTCATCTCCTACACATCCTGCTTCCTCTGGCTGACAACTCTTCGTGACTCAACACTTCTTCCCAGGGTCCTCTCTGCTCTGAAAATCCTGCTTAGACAGTGTAATCAAATATCTCACAACACTGATGTCCTAGAGTTCCACTAGATCTAAACCCAAGTGTAGTCTCTCAGTGTGCTGTTCATGTCACTAGGGAAGCCTACAACCTGTGGAGGCAGGAGCTGCCATAGCTCCATCTGTCCTGGAAAAACAGCTATAAAAGATGTTCTTCAGGCTTTGGACTCCAGGCCCTCGGTGCACACAATACCCACCTCAGTATCACAGGCCTGGAGTGATTTTTTTTCCTAATCACATCCCTCACTTACCCAGTTTCTTGGCCTGCTTCCTGGGACCAATGCAGTCATGTCCCAAGCCCCTTGCCTCTGCCTCTGCCTCTGAGCAAATATTGAGCAGCCGCAGCTAAGCGGGACCAGGCTGTGACAGATAAGCCGAGACTTCCTGAGGGAATGAACACACAGGGGTGGGGGAGGTTTCAGGGGTTGGTTTTGGTTAGTTGGTTGGTTGTTTTCAGACGAAAGGAATATGGATTATAAACTCAAAAAAAGCCCTTCTGGGACATGATGTTTCAGTGTTTACCCCTGAAGATGGTAGCAATGGCATCCTGCCTTTCCATCCCCAGTCTTTCCTCAGAGAGACAAGATTTCTAGAAAGACTTTTGCCTCCTAATGAAAATTTAGCCTTTCGAGTCTTATTAACTCTAATGGGGGAAATGCTTCAATTTATTTTGTTCCAGAGGTAAAAGCAATGATATTAAGTGATCCAATTTACCCATTTCTAGTATCATGCTGGTCACTAATGAAGATGCCCCTGCAGCCCAGTGTGTGGTTTATACAGGCATCACTACTTAACAGTTTACAGATGGCTCCATGCGGTAAGAAAGCAGTACATGCAAATGAAAGTTTTGTGAATCAAACATTGCTCTCTTCTGTATTTACTTGATCTTTAAAAATAGTAGCCTTGCCTGGCAAGGCCTTCACAGGTTTTTCCCATGGCTACCTTCCCTCACTGACAGATGGCTGATGCCCACAGATACATACCTACAAGAGAGAATTCCTCTGCGAGTGAGTCACATATACTGAGCTTTGAGCAAGCAAGAATTTTTTAGTAGTGTCTAGTCAATTGCTCAATTTAGCAATAATCAGAAATATTCTATGTGCTGCACCAGCGTTAACAGCCCTATGAAGTAAGCCATACTATTATTGTCTTTTTTCTAACTGTGAAGTCTAGGCTGAGAGACGAAGTAAATTGCCAGGTTCATGCAGCCAGGCCATCCAAATTTATCATAGGAACTGCACTACAGTTTGAAACCAAAGTGTCCCCTTCAGACTCATAGTTCACAAGGCTATGCCCCAGGCAGTGGTTCTGTTTTGAGTCTATGGAGCCTAGCTGTCAGAAGCAGGCCACCAGGGTGGACCTTTGAAGGTTATATCTGTCTGGGGTTCTTGTCACACTCTCCTTGCTTTCTGGTTGGCCATGATGTCAACAGCTTCTGCCATACACTCTTATCATCCTGGGCTGAGCTCCACCATGCCTTTCCCACCAGAGTGGACTGAAATCTCCTGAAACTCTTGGCCAAAAAAGCCCTCCCCCCCTCCCTTAGGTAGTCTCTGTGAATAAATCTTCTCTTTGTGGTTACAGAATATCAAAGTGAGTAGTACAAAGTGCACACATGTGGTGCAGATCGCTCCTTTCAACTGAAGAAGAAAACAGTTTATGTTATTTACTTTATATTTTGTATCCATCAGCTTACTCACTCAGTATTCTTTGGGCACATCTTTATGTTAACTGCCTCATCTCATGGGATTCTCGTAATAACCTTATTCTCATTTCTGCTTTACAGTCTAGGAGGCAGAGATGTGAAGAGGGTAAATTTGTAGACTAAGCCATACAGCACGTAGCCGAGTGGAATTTAAACCCATTCTAGGCAGAACCCAGCATGACTCTCTTTGCCTTAACCTTATATTTCCTCTTACAGTAAAGAGTTAAATTCCAATCAGAGTTATTCGGTTCCCAAACCTGGTGTTGCTACACACGATGTGCAGGTATTATGTTCTGGATCTGCTTATGCAGGCCATGCAGCTGTGGACATGCCCAGCATCTGTACTCTTCCTTGATGGAGTCCTCTGTCTGCCCAGTGCCCTTCACAAGTGGGGATTGTAACTGAGCTCTTTATGTGTCTTGTGTACCATTTACCCTGGAGACATGCTGGATTCAGATTGAAATAAGAGTGTAGTAAATCACTAAGAGAAAAACCCAACCTAGCCCAGGAAGAAGTATATGCTGGGTCTCTGGCCTATGTCTCAAGAGCAAGGCAAAGGAAAAGGGATTGTGTCTTCAACTGAGGCCCTGTGTACTGCCCTGATAAACTCTTGTCCCTGTGAGCTACAGTGGTGCTGGGCTATGCCTGTACTCCTCTTGAATCAGGATCTGTGCTACATGCTCCCAATGAGCTTCATTTCAAATGCTAACATGGGAGATGAACAAATTATAGACGAAAAACTGCTCTCTGAACATATTTATTTATAATGATACATGAAGTCTGGTGTTTAAAGGAAACAGTTCTCCAAAAAGAAAACCCCTGATCACAATGTGAGCTGCCAGGAGGCTGACTTGAAAGCAAGAGAGGTACAGAGTTTTTCTGTGTATAAAATGCACAATCAAAGAGAGCCATCTGCCCCCATTGATAATGATGGGAATTGACAGACAATTCCATTAAGTGTAATCTTCAGATTGGGACTTTCACGAATGATATGCAAGAATGGGTTTTGTTAAAGATTGATTAAGCTTATAAACTATTTTTGTACAATTATTCAAAACAGACTGAGAGTAAATTATTTTCTCAAATGTTCTTGCAATGAGTGTGTACATTCAGGCTCTTGAAGTGCAGGCATTGTTTAGAGGGCTCTCGATGCCCTGCCACTTTATTTGGCATGTCTTTTAAAATGTCAGCAAGAGATCTTTGTTTGGGGATATTTTTAAGCATTTCTGTAAGACATAAAAAACAGAAAATGACTGAATTATAGTACAATTGCATCTAGGGCATTAAACTCAGGCTGTCTGCTTTTCAATGACGCTGTGTGGAAGTGATGGAGGCCACTGGTGTGTTGGTACTGGGGACCAGGAACGGCACCCAGATCTCTGCAGTCTATTCACAATATCCCAGCCTCACAGATGGATAAACTTTGAGCTACCCTCAAGTCAGAATGCAATCCCAATTTCACTGTCTAGATGGTCCTTCCAGTGAGTCCCATTGTATCTTTATCTTGCAGGACTTCAGAATAACACAGTCCATTTTTCTTCCTACAGAAGACCTGAAAACTTAAGAGCAACAACCATGCTCTTGAGGCAGGCTCTGTGCACCCCTCACTTCTGAGGACAGGCCCTGTGTACCCCTCACTTCTGAGGGTATGCCCTTTCCACAGGGGAGATCATGGAGAGAGAAGGCCTTTTGCTTCTGTTCACTGGCAATAAAAAACAAAACCACCCAGGCATCCCTGTGCTCACCCCTCCCCTGCTTCTACAGTTCTGCTTATATCAAACCTTTTGGTGGCTTAGCCTTGCCTGTAAAATAAATTCTCCTAGAATCAGGTATCAGCTTAACTCAGAGAATGGGGATAAAAGGTGAATTTTGTATCACCCAAGACAGACATGAAGAACGGCAGCATCTTGCTTATTGGTTGGTTTGGGTTAATATTTAACAAAGCAATGTTCTTCATGTCAAAACTACTCCTCAGGTATAAATGTGGCCCAAGTGGAATAGGAGATTTCTTTTCCCCTCTGCAAGTCTGAATTTTATTGTAGTCTTCTCTCTGAAGCCCCATTGTCAAACACTCCAAATTGACTCTCCTGTCTGGGCATCCCTGTGTGCTGAAACTCAACTGCCCCTTCTTCTGCCCTTGAATTGAAGACATTTCTAGTCACTGAATTAGAGTATCGCCCATGAAGTCAACTATTCTGTTTTCTCTTCCATTGTTTAGTGATGACATCAGCTGCCTGGAAAGAACGGAAACTTGTGGAGACATCAGGAAAAGCTGTTGAAGGAAATGGAGAGATCAGCTGGAAAAATCTAAGCCCAGAGGGAAAACAACTAAACCAGAGACACGGGTGACAGTGTAGCGCAGTGGTGGAGTCAGCCAATATGTGTGTGTGTGTGTGTGTGGTGGGGGCGAGGGCCGTGCACAAACTCTGGAGCTACCAGGGATCCTACCAAGGTTCTTGAGCTACATTTCCTTGGAGCCTCAGAGTCACCCTCTTGCTGTGGATATCGCTCTGTATAAATAAAATGCTGATTGGCCAGTAGCCAGGCAGGAAGTATAGGTGGGACAAGCAGAGAGGAGAATTCTGAAAAGTGGAAGGCTGAGGAAGAGAGATGCTGCCATGGAAAGCGAGATGTAAGGTACTGGTAAGCCACGAGTCAGGTGGCAACTTATAGACTAATAGATATGGGTTAATTTAATATATAAGAACTAGATAACAAAAAGCCTGCTGTGGCCATACAGTTTGTAAGCAATATAAGTCTCTGTGTGTTTACTCTGTTGGGTCTAAGCGGCTGTGGGACTGGTGGGTGAGAGGGATTTGTCCTGACCGTGAGCCAGGCAGGACTGGAGAAATCTCCAGCTACACCCTCTTGTCACACAAAGTATGCATCTTAGTCAGGGTTTCTACTGCTGTGAAGAGACACCATGATCACAGCAGCTCTTATAAAAGAAAGCACTTAATTGGGGCTGGCTTACAGTTTCAGGGGTTTAGTCCATTATCATCAGAGCAGGAAGCATGGCAGCCTACAGGCAGATGTGGTGCTGGAGAAGGAACTGAGAGTTCTACATCTAGATAGGCAGGCAGCAGGAAGTAAACTGGCTTGAGCTTCTGAGACCTCAAAGCCCACCCCCTAAAGGACACACTTCCTCCAACAAGGCCACACCACCTAATAGTGCCACTCCCGATGGACCAAGTATTCAACCAGGAGTCTATGGAGCCATTCCTATCCAAACCACCAGTGTGAATGTTATCAACGTGTTCTGTGACTTCTGTGGGGTAACATACAAGCATGCAAAGAGCCCACCAGTCACAGGATCAGAAAAGGACTTTTCATCTATCATGTAAGGAGGCAAGAGGCCAAACAGTTAAACTGACAAAAGACAGATTGATGGGAGAAAAGGCACACAAAACACATTGGATGTAGCATGAAATTTTTTGTATCTACCTAGGCATTCCACAGAAGAGGAGGTGGATCCCAAAGAGAGCTGGGCCTGAGAGCTCACAAACCAGCAATAATTTGTAAAGAAATGACAAAAGAAAGGTGTTTGGGATTTTAGGTTTAGTAAATTGTAAGGATATGAGTCTATACAGGAAATTAATGAAAGATAAAGGTTATCTCAGTAAGTAAGGCTTATTTATTTGGGCAGATTCATCAGTGACCAAATTATCTCCCTTCCTCGTGGGGGAGGCAGGCAGAATGGACACCTTCACCAAGGGAAATTCATACCCAGTGTAGGAGCAGAAAGAAAGAAGGGACCCATCTTTCATATAGGATTCTCATTTGTCTTCAGCCCAAAGTGACCACACACCAAAGTGGCATGCTCTGGGCACCCTGATTCTCTATGCACATTAGTGATTGCACAAGCAGGGTGATTAATCAAAGTGACTATCCCATGAGTTAAAACGTTTTCTTTACCCAGTGTTGCTGCTCTAGAACTCAGAATTTCTTATGCAACCATGGTATTTTGTGTCCCCACTTATTCTATCTCTAACATTTTAATTTTATTTAAATTTAGGAACAAATGCTAGTTTAACAATAGGTCATCTCTTCTGCCCCCGCAGACATAACCAGAGGCACTAAATACATTTTCAGTCCTGACCCTTGGTGACTTGACTCATAAGAAAAGGTGAAAAGTGCCAAGAAAGAAAGGAAATTATAAAGGCAAGTGAACTTAGAGGCCCAAAGGACCCAGGAGGGGCAGGGTGGGGGAGAGAGTTTCATATGATCAAACACAATTCTTATCCCAGTGGAACTTTGAAACAAAGATTTCCTCCACAGCTTCTTATTATGTTTGGAGAAACTGAGGCACAGAAAAGGACACATATCTACAGCGGCAGAAATAGATCACAAACCTAAGATTCAGCTTTCCAAAATGCTCACCCCCCCCCCACCTAGGATACTTTACCTTCTTTTCCACGATCCCCACATACCCACTTACCTAGTTAATATCTAGTCGGCTGGACTTTAGGCTCAAGCATTTCTCCACCTACATATACCACCCCCCAAGCCTCCCTGAGCAACCCGCTTCCCAGTGGATCAGGATCTGGTAATGTGCTTCCAGAGCACCTGCCAATGTGTCTTTCCCACCGCCTCCTTCTCCTCCCACTGCATAGGCCACACAGTCTGTGCTCCATAAGCACATGAGTCACCCAGGAGGGGTGGATGGAGCATTGCACCATGGCGGATGATTCCACTCCCGCAAACACCTCTATGCAGTTCATTCACAAAGCAGAGGGCAGGAATGGTTTCCATTCATGCATTTTTCAATAGCAAGGTTCATTATGGGAAGCTTCTCTAATTAATCCTGATGCTCACCCCTGCAGAGACAGTGCGACCTTTTCTCTCTCTCCTTGGCTCCTCTTCTCAAGGCAAACGCTGCTAGAAGACAGGGACTGGCAGGCAAATCCCATGAATCGTCCAGTGCTTTATTGTTTTCTAACACTTGCTCTTATCGCCCCAGACATACTTTATGTGGAACAAATTGATTAAAATATAAAATGGGGATTTACTTTCAGTTAGGCTCTGAAGAGCACAGTTATCAGGATGTAAAAAGATCCAAGGAGCTAGAAGAGAAGGAGAAGGGGGAGGAGGGAACAGGGCACAGCTGCAGCAAGAGCAGCCACCACCCCCAGACTCCACCACCCCAGACTCCACCACCCCCAGACTCCACCACCCCAGACTCCACCAACCCCAGACTCCACCACCCCAGACTCCACCACCCCAGACTCCACCACCCCAGACTCCACCACCTCCAGACTCCACCACCTCCAGACTCCATCACCCCCAGACTCTACTACCCTCAGACTCCAGCACCCCCAGACTCCACCACCCCCAGACTACACCACCCCAGACTACACCACCCCAGACTACACCACCCCAGACTCCAGCACCCCCAGACTCCACCACCCCAGACTCCACCACCCCAGACTCCACCACGCTCAGACTCTACTACCCCAGACTCCACCACCTCCAGACTCCACCACCCCCAGACTCCACCACCCCCAGACTCCACCACCCCCAGACTCCACTACCCCAGACTCCACCACCCCAGACTCCACCACCCCAGACTCCACCACCCCAAACTCCACCACGTCCAGACTCCACCACCCCAGACTCCACCACCCCCAGATTCCACCACCCCAGACTCCACCACCCCCAGACTCCACCACCTCCAGACTCCACCACCCCAGACTCCACCACCCCCAGACTCCACCACCCCCAGACTCTACCACCCTCAGACTCCACCACCCCAGACTCCACCACATCCAGACTCCACCACCCCAGACTCCACCACCCCCAGACTCCACCACCCCCAGACTCCACCATCCCAGACTCCACCACCCCCAGACTCCACCACCCCCAGACTCCACCACCTCCAGACTCCACCACCCCAGACTCCACCACCCCCAGACTCCACCATCCCAGACTCCACCACCCCCAGACTCCATCACCCCCAGACTCTACCACCCTCAGACTCCAGCACCCCCAGACTCCACCACCCCCAGACTCCACCATCCCAGACTCTACCACCCCCAGACTCCACCACCCCCAGAGTCTATCACCCCCAGACTCTACCACCCTCAGACTCCACCACCCCCATACTCTACCACCCCCAGACTCCACCACCTCCAGACTCCATCACCCCCAGACTCTACCACCCTCAAACTCCAGCACTCCCAGACTCCACCACCCTCAGACTGTCTTATCTTCAGTCCTAACATTTAAGCTCCTTGCCCAGAAGGTTAGAAGAAGAATTGCTTTTTACTGAGTCCCTACTCTGTGCCACGCACCGAGTAAAGAAACTCTCGTTATTTATTCAGCCATCATTGGAGGGCCAAGCTCTGTTTCCAGAACTGGGAAGACAGAGGTGAAGGAAAAGGACTTGCTGTCATGGGTTTCCTGTTCCTAAAGAAGAGACTGGAAGCACACAGGTCACATAACACCATGTGGCAATTAAAGCCAGAAAGAGAATAAAATAGGTTAAAGAAATTAGAGTGATGGGATAGACCTCAGGCTTTGCAGCAAAAAGAGTCCCGAGGAAGCAGGACTGACAGAACAAGGTGACCAGAAGGCTAGAGACACATTGGAGGACATGTTCCCATCAGAGGAGCCATTGTGGATAGACCAAGGTGTGAGAGCAAGGACTGGAGAGTAGGAAGAAGGCAGCTGTGTGGGTACAAGAGCAGGCAGAGAGGTAGACAAAGGCCAGGCCCCATGTCTGTGCTAAAGACATTAACCTTTTCCAAATTCCCTACTGTGGTGGTTTGAAGGAGCCTACCCACCCCGCCACCATAACTCATAGTTTGAATGCTTGATCCTCAGTGCATGGAACTGCTTGGGAAGAATTAAGAAGTGTGGCTTTGTTGGAGGAGGTGTGTCACTGGGGCCTTGCTTTGAGGTCTCCAAAGACTCTGGCCATCCCCTCTCTCTCTCTTTCTCCCCCTCTCTCTGCCTTATGATGTGGATCACAACATGAGCTCTTAGCTACTGCTCCAGTACCATGTCTGCCTGCCTACTGCCATCTCCCCACTATGATGGCCATGAACTCCAACCCTCTGAAATTGTAAGACCCAAATAACGACTTTCCTTTATAAGTTGCTTTGGTCATGGTATTTTATCACAGCAATAGAAAAGTAACTAAGACACTTAGCTGTAGATGTAACGAACCGTCTTATTAAATAAGAAACACAGAACCAATGCAAAGAAGAAAGCCAAGAGATCAGAGCTAAGAGCCTTACCCGCCTGCTGCAGCTAGCCTCTTCAACCAAGAGACCTCTCCGAAAGAGACCTACTTCCTGTCTGTTTGTCTTTATATAGACTTTCTGTTCTGCCTTCTCATTGGTTGTAAACCCAACCACATGACCGCCTCATCACTGCCTGTTTGTACAGACCTCCAGGTCTTCTATGGTTGGTATTGAAATTAAAGGCGTGTGTCTCCAATGCTGGCTGTATCCTTGACCACACAGAGATCTACCTAGTTCTGTCTACCAAGTGCTGGGATTAAAGGCATGCGCCACCACCACCCAGCTCTGCTATGGCTTGCTATTAGCTCTGACCCCCAGGCAACTTTATTTATTAACATACAAATAAAATCACATTTCAGTACAAATAAAATATCACCATACTTAGCAACCTTTTGTAGTGTTTTGAGTGAAGGCCTGTCATGATCACGTTCACTTTGTGAAAAGCTGTATCCTACTCAGTCCTCAAAAGGACCTTAAGAGATGAGCAGCATTGACCCCACGTGTTCAAATAGGAACTGGGGCTTGGAGACAGTAAACCTTTTGCCCAAATTTACGGAGCAATTTCCAAAAACAGATTGTGAGTCCAACTCAGGATAGTATTCCAAATGCACCCTTTTCACACAGTCCCACACTGTCTGAGGACACTGACTGGGTCTTATGTGACTCCAAAGCACCCTCACAGTCCCAAACACATAGCTGCTGCCCAGTGTCTGCCTTCTAAATGAATACATTAGGTTCAGCTCAAACCTGCCAGGTTTCTAGGATGCCTGGTGTTTGGGTCAGATGGGAGAAGAAATAGTAAAGGGATTTTTTACAATGAAAAAGAAAATAGAAAAAAAATAATATATTTAGGTCGGAGCTGTTTTTAGTACTATCCTTCCCAGGGGGGGAAACATAACTGCTTTTCAGAACTTCAATTTTTACCCCTTTTGCTATTTTAAACTTTTTCAGCTCTACACTTGCACACTTCAGCTCTGAAACACTCAGCTTGCTCTTCAGTCCAAGGGCCAATTGGAAATGGCACCCATTAAAAGTCAGCTGAGTTTTGCACTTGCTCCTAATGGCTATTCACACACATACATCATGCCAGGAAGCAAAACTATGAAGGGATCATGTTCTTTCTCCTTCCCAAGCTTTCACAGCCACATGGAGCAGCTCCTCTTCCTATGATTTCTGGGGTGACCTGGAAAAACAAAGACCACCTTCAGGTGAGCACAGGTGTGTGCCTGACAACTGATTCAAGCCTTGTCCCCAGACCCTGGGGCAGTCAGCTGTAGTCACAATGAACAAATCATGGCTCCTGCAGACAGACTCATAGAGCCAGAGGTGCCCTACTTGCCTAGGAAGCTCACAGGCTGGTGAGGTCCCTTGGGGACAAGGCATCATTCTCTTCCACAAACCCAGAGCAGCAGAAAGCTATGAAGGAAATAACTGGGTATTCTGAGGGCTTCTGGTCTGGGTTAGAAGCCAGAGTTTCTCTGAGGACACAGTTATAGGGGGAAGAAGACACAGGCATGCTTAATAGCACGTACCTGGAATCTCTCAGGACTCTCTCTCTGAGACCAGAGGATAGTGAGTTTGAGGCCAGCCTATGCTACAGAGAGAGGCCCTGCTTCATATAACCAAGGGCTGTCTGGGCATGGTGATGTATCCCTGTCATCTTAGCCCTTGAGAAGTGGAGACAGTAGGATCAGGATTTGAGATCATTGGCTGCACAGCCAGCCTGGGATCTAGGATCCAAGTGCCCTGCCTTAAAAAAATAAAATAAAGTAAGGAAGAAGGAAAAGAAAAGAAATCTAAAACAACAAACAATTCCCAAGGGCTGGAGGTCTTGATCTGTGTTCAAACATTTTCTAGAACCAGCAGTGTGTTGGGTTTAATCCTCAGGACCACCTTCACAGCAAAAGACAGAGGAGGGATATCCTGGGTTAAGAGCTTTCTTGGGATCTCAAAAAGGATAGAATGAAGGGTTCCAAAGACCTGAATGGGGCTAATAGGACCTAGGTGCAAGAAGAAGGGACCATAAGTGGTAGACAAGGACTCTAGGGATTATCTGAATGGATCCTTTCTCACCTCAGCATGCAGCGTTGACTCGGAGATTTTAGGACTATGTATGTACTGTCCAGTGTACAGTATGTCAGTATCCAGTATAACAGCGGTCTACAGTATCAACAGGTGAGGAACGATAGGAGGGATTTGCAAAGAAAACCATTAGGGGACCCTAAGTGAGCTCCCAGGAATCTGGCAATATTCAATGCTGTGCACCCTGGGGCCCCCAGAATCTCTGAAATGAGAAACAGTCATTGATGCATCGAGGAGCTGCCCACCTCTCTCTTCTCCGTGATAACACTGTCACCAGAGAATGGAAAATCCCTCAGACAGCTCTGCATCTCCAAACTCACCTCAGTGGCAGGCTGCATAGGCAAACAGCCTGGTGGAGAGCTGGCTAGGCTTGCAAGCAAAGAACTAATAAATAACCTTGAAATACACAGTCTGACGGCAGCTTTGCTCTGTGCCTCCTGGCTTCTGCCCTAGAAGGCTCATGAATTGCTAGGCCTGGCAGGTGGAGTCAGGAGAGCAGAGTCTGCCCAGTGTGTTGAAGACGTACAAATAAACACCCAGCGTTGGCTTCAGTATTGCTGCTTAGCCAACCTCTCCTCCGGGAAGAGGGGCTAGCCTGGAGCAAGGCTCAGGTAGGAAATAAACATTTCCAGCCACCCGAGAGGAAGGTCAGAAAAGGAATCACCCTGCCTACACAGGCAGCCGCATGTCTGCCAGGCAAATGGGTTTTTCAGTGGGGATTTAGAAACTCCTCAGGAGAGAATATGCAGCATTCAGAGAGCCCCAGTGGAAGGTGCAGAATTGTCAGTCAAACACATTCTCAGATTCACCAAAGCACTTTTGCAATCATTTGTAAATTGCTCTTCCAGGGCGTCTGTGAGAATGTTAAATGACTAGGAGATGAAATCAATACCTCAGCGCTAGGTTGGGGGTGGGCATCCCAGTGCAAAGCAAGAATCACATATCCATAAAAGGACGCAAAGATGTCGGTCTCCTTGGATGAGAAATAGTTCAGCAGAAGGTGGCAGGCGCCGAGCTAGAAGACTATCTAAACTGCAAACAGACACAAAACGGGCACAAGCAGCTAGAGATGTGGAGGCTCTTTGAAGAAAAAGAAAATCAAGTTGGGTATGTGGCTCAGGCCTTGAGCTCCAGGGCCTGGGAGGCTGAGGCAGAGTGGGTGGATGTTGAATGCCGGTTAATCTGCATAGTGAGACTTTGTCTCAAATAACAAATGATCATGTTTTGTCAGGGGAAGCACTGATGAGCAACACCACAGTAGATTACAAAGAAACCTGGCTTGCTCATAAATAGTGGCTGAAAAAAATGTGAGAAAAAAAGCCAATATTTGGGACATGAATAAGAAAACATGAATAATGTTGAATCTGGAAATTAATAGAGAATTTGTGTTTTTTTTTTGTTTTTTTTTTTTTTTTTAAACTGTCTCCTAGGAGAAGCTGCTTGGGAAGGTAAGCTCCTTCCAAGAGCAACAACTGTTATCCCTGCTCAGGTATTGGTTCCATGCCTGGTACCACACTGTGAGTGGGTGCTTTGTTTTGTGAACAGGTAGATTCCCTGGACACTCAAGAAACCTTATAAAGGATGTGCTGTGGATTTGGCTCTGTATGCTGTGAATGTGTATTGCTCTGATTTGGTTGATAAATAAAATGCTGATTGGCAGGAAGTAGAGTATAGGCAGGATAAGCAGAGAGAAGAATTCTGGGAACAAGAAGACTGAGTCAGGAGTCGCCAGCCAGCCACAGAGGAAGCAAGATGTGAAGGCAGAACTGAGAAAAGGTACTAAGCCACGTGGCTAAACATAAATAAGAATTATGGGTTAATTTAAGTGTAAGAGCTAGTCAATAGTTTACCTGAGCTAATGGCCGAGCAGTTTTAATTAATATAAGCCTCTGTGTGTTTACTTGGGTCCAAGCAGGAGCCGGGCAGGACCAGGAAAACTTCAGCTACAAGGATGAATACTATCAACCTTATAGAAAAGTTAATTATCTTATCCAAGGTCACATGGCAGACCTGGTGTCCCATGTCTCCTGTCACAGAGTTGCTGCTGCTGCTGCTGCTGCTTGAGTCTCCTCTCATTCTGCTTTGCTGGGAGGCAGAGTTTTGAGGGGAACAAGATGGTGTTCCCTAGAACAAGGAATAGATATCTTTACTTAAGCAGCTCCCACTCCAGGAAGAAAAGAGACATTGTGCAACTGTCCCTGGACTCTGGTTCTTTCTCATCAGTGATTTTCAGTGGTTTCAGACCTCTTGGTAGGACTTCAGAGTCTCTAAACACAGCTATATTTAGCTAAAAAAGTAAATTAACATATGTCAGAGAACAATTCATTTCCTGTTTATTTGTTTGTTTGTTTTTTCAAGCTCCTACAGGAAAAGGGACTCTATTAAAAGAGTCACTTGGAAGTGTTTTGGTCACACAGTGACAAGCACATGCCTGCCTTTCCCTTCTTAGCATGTTCTGACTGCTTTTAAACTGGAATAACCAATCACTGCCCCACCCCTTAGATAAATTGCCTAAATCTGGGCTGTGGCCCAGCGGAAGACCATTCGCCTCACAAATGTGTGAGACCTGAATGCAAAGCACCAGAAAAGAAAATTTAAAGGGACTGGGGCCTCACAAAACGGCTCCACAGGTAAGAGCATTTTCTATGCAAGCCTGACAACCTGAGTTTGATCCCTGGAATCCACAAAAAGTCAGATGCAGAGGGTTGAAGTGCCTCAGAGGCTAGGATCGCTTGTGTTCTTGCAAATAAACATCAGGCTTGTTCCCCCAACACCCCCTAGGAAGGCCCATAACCGCCTATATTTTGACTATCTGATGCTTTCTCTTCTGGCCTCACAGAGAGAGAGAGAGAAAGAGAGAGAGAGAGAGAGAGAGAGAGAGAGAGAGAGAGAGAGAGAGAGAGAGAGAGAGAAGAGGAGAGGAGAGGAGAGGAGACAGAGAGACTTATGAACACATACCTAATGCAGTGGCTTACATTTGCAATTCCAACACTTCTGTGAAGATGGGATGTGGGGACAGGGGGATCATTGGGGAAGCTCTCAGGGCACCTAGCTTGGGTTATGCAGAGCGGCAAGAACAAGAGAGACCATGCCTCAACAATGCAAAGGCAAGAACCAGCTCTCCAAGTTTGTCCTTTGGCCTCCACATGTGCCCATGCACACTCTCATCATAACATTTTTCGATTTTTAAAGGAAGAACAGCATGAACGTCTCAGTCAATGCTGTGCAGCAGAACTACCTCTGAGTATTCCCCTCAAGCATCATTATGATCAATAATCAGATGCCAGGAATAAAACAGGACTTGCTTTTTGTTTCTTTTTTTCTTTTTGGCTAGTGTTCTCGTATATCAACAACAGTTTCTTTCTCCTCTCAAGTAAACATGCAAATAGGATTCTCTTTCCAAATAACAAATGTGTGGTTTCATTGTGTGAGCAGGAATCTGGAGTGAGGCTGGCTGGCCTTGTCTCCCATCCATTCTGTAGGATACCCTCCAGTTGGCAGGCATTTTCCTCCCCAAAGAACTGATGTGTAATCTTTTGTTCTTTCAAAGCTCTTTTTGTTTCCAAGAGACAAAATACCTACTTTGTGTCATGTTCTCTTGTGTGTGACTAACGATAACGGAACAGTTATGAGAGTTAGGAGCTGGGCATTTGTATTCTTGTACTATAACAATTGTATTAGCATAAACTGCTGCTAAAACATAGCCTGTTAAAGCAAATTAAGTGACTTAAAATATAGATAGACACTAACTGCTAAACATTAGGAGGTAGACACCGGCAGTTCTTTATCCAAATGCTGTATGACGTCTGCTGCCTGAGAGATGCTCGGATGACTCCCTCTGCCTTCTGAGCTCAAGTGGTGTCTGGGCAGGGTAGATGGCAAATGCCAAGTCAGCCAACTATGGGCAACCCCACTTCTGACCCGACTTGCTTTGTTGATGGCCTCTTGGCACTTTGGTGTGTTGATTAATCTTGCTCTGTCAGTGAGTAGAACACATGAAATAATCAAGAGGAAAGGTCTATTTGGGCTCATGTTCTGAGGTCCAGGGTCACTTGGCCTTATCATTTTGGGGCCTGAGGTGACACAGTATGGGGGAACATGAGAAAGGAAGTTGCTCACTCCATAGCAATCAGAAAAGAGAAGGAGGAAGGGAGGCCAGGGTCGGGGAGTGACTGGCTCTGTGATCACAATATCCTCTTCAAAGGCGTGCTCCAATGATCTACATTCTTTCCACTAGGCCCTGCATTCTGAATGGTCCACCTACCACCCAACAGCACCACAAGCTGATGGTTAAGTCTTCAACCCATGTGTCTTTGGGGGGAGATTCATCTAAATCATAGCAATTGCTCATGAAATAAAAGTATTTTAAAACTATAGACTTTGCCAGGCACAGTGGCACATGTGAAGCTAATCTGAAGGCTGAGACAGGAATTTGCTTGAGTCCAGGAGTATACTATATCTAGCCTGATCAACATAATAAGATACATAGAGAGGCAAGGACTGTGGTAGATAGATGGGTGGCTGGATGATGAAAGGACGGAGGCATGAATGGTGTTGAATAGTTAAGGTGGATACTAGACAGACTGGTGGATGGTCACGGTGAACTTACTCAAGTCAGAGCACATCGTTTAAGGAACATCACCAGTAGCTCAGCTCATTTCCAATTACACTAGTGCCTGCTACATACAAGATCGGACAATGGCAAAGAGTCTGCAGGACAGAAGTAGAAAATGGAATGATAAGCTGAAGAAACACACAGAGAGATTTCCCCTAAGTCATGGACTGTGGACTATTCTTGGGATTCATGGCATATAATGATGTTCAGCTACATCTTTATATGGATTGTGTTGGATTAGGCTTCCCATGCCTGAAGAGCCCTGGCAGCAAACATGACATGGAATGGCAATGTGATAACAACAGAAAACTCATAGTTTGGCAGTCGTGAAGACAAGCCAGCTTTTATGTTTTTACAACATGAACTGTTTCATTTGAAATGGAAAGGACCAAAGGGGGAACTGGAGCCATGCTCTGATGCAACCTAAATAGTTTCACCTCTAACTGCTTAGAAAGATCAAACCTAATAATATTTGCCCAGGTTGTTCTTCAAGAGGATGCTAACAAATCTCTCCCTGGACTTTAGCCTTGCAAACAGCAGCATGTGGTAATTTAATTAGCTAGTTGTTGTATTGGCAGTTTATAAGACAAGATTTGAAAGTTTTCTTTACACACACACACACACACACACACACACACACACACACACACACACACACACACACACACCATCAACAGAAGTCCTGAACTGAAAAGAAGATCATTGGGAAGTGTGGCTTTTCCCAAAAGTGGCCATCTCGGGCAATGAGTCACATGGGGAAGTGTAGTAGTGTCTTAGTTTGCTTTCTACTGTTGTGAGAAACACCAAGACCAAAATCACTTGGGGGAAAAAAGGATTTATCTCATCTTACAGTTCACAGTCCATCATGAAAGGACATCCAGGCAGGGAACCTGGGGGCAGGACCTGAAGCAGAAGCCGTGGAGGAGTGTGCTTAACGGCTCACCTTCCTTTAATCATTAATCAAAAAAATGCCCCCACAGCCTTGCCTACAGGTTGATTTGAAGGCAGGAAGCATAGTCTCCATTGGGATTTCCTCTTCCTGGGTGACTCTAGCTTGTGTCGTGTTGACAAAAAGTAATGAACACAAGTCATGACTTCACGTTTCCCGGGCTGCTCTAACCGTAGATTTGCTAGAGCCCACATGCCCTGTACACTGTGCCTTTGTGGATGTCTGTCCCAAGGCTGGAGAGAACACTGAAGAGACAGTGGGGAAAATGAAGGAATGTTGTCACTTCAAGCTGATGGCCTGCCCCAGCCTTTGCTTCGAAGCCCTTGTCCTGTGGCCTAGCCTTCCTTCAGCCCCCCACATCCATCAGACATCTACCTGACATCACCCCAAAAGACAGATATTCCTAGGTCACTCTAGTCACTACCCCCTCGCTTTTGTCATGGACCCCTTTGCTCTCTTCACCCTGCTTCGTTTACTCCAATGCTGGTTTCACAGAAGGTAGCCAATATATAAGTTCTTAATGGATCAAGGAGAACTTATTGTTTTGTTGTTGCCTTTTTGTGCATATTTAAGCCTCCTTAAAGAGCCAAATTGAAAGCAAGAGATCTATTAAGACATAGTCAGCATTGGCCACTATCTATAAGCTCATCAACTCGGCTAACTCTGCCACTGCTGTCTTAGTTAGGGTATTCTATTGCTGTGAGGAGACGCATTGGTCACCATCTATGTGCTCATCAGCTCGGCTCACTCTCCCACTGTTGTCTTAGTTAGGGTTTTCTATTGCTGTGAGGAGACACCATGACCCTGGCAACTCTCATTAAGAAAACATTTAATTGAGGGTGACTTGCTTACAGTTTCAGTCCATTATGATCATGAAGGGGAGC